GACAATCCCGTGACAATATGCGTTTTGTACTGCTATTACAGAGCACAAAACGCATAAAAACGGATGTGTACGCCTTTTTTACACTTAGATGCATTATCTTCTCCCTTTTTTTCCATAATGCACTGACATTTTGATTAGCTGTTGTTCCATTGTAGCACACTTTTACGCTCAGTTAGCACAGACTGCAAAGTTTCAGCTTTCTAGTTTGACCGGTTTGCGAAATCGCCTCTCGTTATTTTGCAAGTATTTCCCTTTCTTTTGCCGGATTTGTTTCATTAATTAGCTGTTTTAAGTTTCTCTGGCGTTTTAATTTCATTTGAGAAAATGCCGGTTCGTCAGCGGTCGCCTTTGTGTTCTTTCAGTTCATCCTCCTAGCAGTCCTTTCACTGATGCACTACAGTGGCCAGCCTCCCGAAAAAGGGGGTTAATTGTGTGAGAATTTTTTCCTTTTTCGGGTAAAATCAGTATCTCTAGAACCATGGAAGGCAGAATCATGATCTCTGCCGATAATCAGCTCGCATAGAGTCAAATGGGATGGTAGATAGTGTTTTCTCATTTCCTTATCATTCTTTTATTTTAAGTTTCTTTGATTTTTTTCTTTTTTTTTTCTCTGGGAAAGACGGGGTGAGGGGGGAACTTTAATTTTTTTGCTGGGCAATTGATTTTAACACTCTCAGCTGTGGACCTGATTGATGCTGGCTAGAAGCTGTCGCAACCTCCATCACCTCCCGTTTTTTACAGCTTATTCGGTTGACCATTTTTTAAAACGCATTTTTAATAAAAGATAAGCAGCCAACAGTACTTCCAGTCCTTGGTTGCCATCACTCGAGCCTTTGCTAAGTATTTACTTTCTTTAGGGGAAGAAGTGCGGGGAGGATTTTAGCAATTATTTAACTGTTGAATATAAGTACCGATCTTCCATGGCAGGATATTGTTGAAGAGAGGCTTCAGAAACGTAAATTTTTAATACAATTATAACTTTTTTGCGGTGCAGCTAGACGAAGTCAGATCGCAGACCAGTCTTTAGAAGCACGCGGTTTCCCTCGTCACTGATTCAGTAAAACTTGCCAGATTTTCCCAGTGTATTTTAAAGTTATCTTTTTTTTTTCAGAAGCAGCAATATCATTAAAAGAAGGCGAATGCAGCAACGGTGGAAGTCAAGCCTCTGCAGTTGACACTGAAAAACTCTCTGAGGTTTGAAATGTTTTACATATATTGTATCCAAAAATTTTGATCCCAAAAGTTGTAGAACT